ACCTCTGGTTCTCCAGAAACCTACACAACAGCAACCTCGGGTAAGGCAAACTGGGGTACAAAAGCAACCTCTCTTCCGACAACTTTTAAACCAAGAACGACCCATAGTGCAAGACTCTTTGGTACAAGAACAGCCTCTACTACAGCAATCATTGTTGCAGCGGCAGCCTATACCTCAACAACCTTTGATATCACAAGTACCTTTGGAACAAGAGCAACTACTGCAACGATCTATGGTGCAGCAGCCCTTCATACAGCAGCCCTTGGCGCAGTTGCTGCCTTTAGCACAACGGCAACCTTTATTACAGGAACAGTCACTGGTACAACAGCAGCCAGCAATACAACCAGTGAGGGAACAAGCACTGGCACAATTTCTGATCCGAGAGCGACCTTTTGTGCAGCAACCTCTGTCGCGAGACCAGTTTCTGGTGCAACAACAGCCTTCGGTACCACGGGAAACCCTGGAACAGCAGCTGCCACTGACCCAACGTATAGTACAATTTGCAAGACGACAAAATACAATGCAAGGCCGTCGTTTGGCACAGCGGCCATTTGTAGGGATTCAACCAACACGTGTTCAAGCGGCAGTTGTTCAGCCAACACACGTTCAGGCGGCAATTGTTCAACCGTCCGGACAGGCCATCCGAGACAGAGGCGATCGGCAACGTCTTTCGCTCCTTCTTGAAGACGATGAGCTGGACGAAGACGGAGGGCAGCGCGAGGCCTTCCTGGAAGGGTCTTACTACTTTGGGTCAGTTGATCTTGCTGTTCTTTGGCTGTGCCGATTGTGTGCTTTGCTTTAATTCTTAAAATGACCAAAACACACAAGCACATTCACATATATACATACATACAAACATACACATGTTGTGTGTATGTATCTATATACACACATATATATAATATATAATATATATATATATATATGTGTGTGTGTGTGTGTGTGTGTGTGTGTGTGTGTGTGTGTGTATCTATGTATGTATGCAATTGTACATACATACCACACACACACACACACACACACACACACACACACACACACACACACACACACACACACATATATATATATATATATATATATATATATATATATATATATATATATAAACCACACCATGGCAATCGCAGGTACGCCACGAGGGACGGCATCCGGCGGGAGGAAGTGTCTCGCGTCACAGGCCCGGACAACCACGAAGTCACCGGCTCCTACTCGTATGTAGTGGCTTTGCACAAGACTTGTTGATTAACCTAATGTCTCCTGAAATGTCTTTGACTCGCGCAAATATATGAGCAACTCCCCCTTTTGTGTGTGTGTGTGTGTGTGTGTGTGTGTGTGTGTGTGTGTGTGTGTGTGTGTGTGTGTGTGTGTGTGTGTGTGTGTGTGTGTGTGTGTGCGTGTGTGTGCGTGTGCGTGTGTGAGTGAGTGAGTGTTCGTGCGTGTGCGTGTGCATGTGCGTGCGTTTAAGTCAGTGTATGCGAAATTATCTACAATTTTGTATATCCGCGTATTTGTTCACATAAGCAGTCATGTACACACCGTTCCCCTCTCTTCCCCGCCAGCTACACGGCTCCTGACGGCGAGGTAGTCAACGTCGAGTACATCGCGGACGAGAATGGATACCGTGCCTACTCCGTTCCTCCTGGACGGTCTGGGTATTGTAATTATGCCCCTTAACTATCGACTTAATGAATTCAGATAATTTGTAATGTTCCTTAACTATCGACTTTATGAATTCAGATAATTTGTGATGTTCCTTAACTATCGACTTTATGAATTCAGATAATTTCTTTAACTGTATTTTAGCAAAAGGGGTTTTACGGCGACAATTATTTCACGACCCTAAACACTCATAGGTTTCTTTGTTTAATGAAAGCATCTATGGTCACCGATTTGCTCTACCTTCAAACAACTAAATCCAAAGAATGTTTTATCATCTGAAACTCTTCCGCCATGTCGTCAACGTCAAAAAATAATCAACTGTTTTTTTTTCCAGTCCTCATCTTGTCCACTCCACTCAGCGCAGTTCAGCTCCGCCAGTCATCCAGTCAGTAACGACCAGTCCCAGGGTATTTCAGACCAGACCCAGCATAAGCTTAGCCACGGCTCGACCAAGCTTTCTCAATAGGCCTACAGTTCAGCTCTCCTCTCGACCCAGGCAGAGCAGCTCCGAACACGAGGAAGGCGCCCAGGAAACCACTGGTCGACCCTTGGCTTTCAGTAACGGCTTCGATTCCTTCAGCGCCTTCACCTTTGCTCCAGAAGCTCGGGTCTCCGTTGCGGACGAGGCTAGTCAAGGGTCTGAGGAGGAATGAGAAGCACTGGGAAATAGGAGCCTCCGTCTACTCTTAAACGTGGATTGGTAGTCTGCACTTTATTTGAAAACATTTGCGAGCTTACTTGTACTGCGTCCGTGAAGAAAGGAAATAAACACACACATACACACACACACATCTTATACTTATTAATATGCTTTAGTCTACGAGCCTTTCACCTACAGTAGTACTAGCCTACCCAATGTATTTCCCATAAGGTTAATTTGTCTAATCCGATCATTCGCGTGCTTCTCTTAGACTGCTTATTTTAAATATTGAAAAAAATGTAATATGTAGCATATTCAGCATACAGTATGTCTTAATAAATATGCCAAAATTTAGCCTTAAATCTAGTCTATGGAAAAATACCACGACTAGGATAAAAATTTAAAAGTATATTGACCGGGGGTAGTGTCCGTGGTGCAACGACAGAATATAACTAGCATTTTGTAAATCATGCATTGTTAAATAGAATTAAGGAGTAAATCTTGTTTATATTATATCGCAAACATTACTGAATAAAAAAGTTACGTTGTGGTGATTCGATTGGGGGAAAATGAGAACCACTGCACTAAACTACTTTGAAATCCCAAGGTTTATATTTCATTTCGAATGTAACATTACATACTTCCACATCGCAGGAAGAAACTGGTGAACTAGGTATTGGGTTTGTTTTTCTACTGGCCGACGGAGTACACACGATGGTAGATAAAGAAAATACAGCTTTAAGAGCAATTACGTCATATCGTAGTTATCCAGGACAAATAAACCAGCGTATCGTGGTTTTCTCAAGGTTAAACGTTAACGCTTTGTCAACTTGTGTACTGAAACTCGGGATAAGAAGCCGTAGAGTTGATTTCAGAGTAGCAAAGAAAATCTGCTACTTCGGTGTTACTTTACTACTCAGGAGGACCGGTACTCCAAATTACATTGCGTAAATGTCATATTTTTATCCAGTTCTTATACTTCTATGAAACCGTCACAAGGCGCTGGTAGAATACCCTTATCGGTAAAGGCGTACCCAGGTCGACTCATACCCTAGTCAACTCGTACCCAGGTCGACTCATACCCTAGTCAACTCGTACCCAGGTCGACTCATACTCTAATCAACCCGTAACGTCGGCTAGATCAACTCGTAACCTCCGCCTAACTTAACCTAACCTAACACCAGCCTAAAATGAGTTGATAGTTATTTTAATAAGCATTTCTTGTGTACTTTTCATTGTTTTTCCTTCATCAAATAAACAAATATTGAGTACGAACATGCGCAGTCTACCAGCTGGAGGTTACGAGTTGACTAGGGTACGAGTTGACCTGATACGCGCTTTTGCCCTTATCGATATTACGTTGCGGAAAATTTAGAAATGAACCCCAATGTTTTACTGAATGCACTTGTGTTTCGAACGAATCTAGCACTCGGTTCTCTCTCGTCCCAGCTCGGCTCCTTCCCAAATAAAGCACAGCTACAATATCGGCCTCGATAGCCGGGCAGGACATGGTATCGGAAATTGCGGGGTAAAAGCCAATCACCGAAGTAAAACTTTCATTAATTTCGTTATTGCGAAGCATATTCATATTAAATATGAATATTAAACTCCTTATATTTAACTTAAAATATTAAAATATTAAACTTAAACTCCTCATCTGCAAAATCTTCACCTCACATGTTCTGGCAGGATAGAGCCCGGGCATATATCTGGATTTCGTACCGATAATTTCTTACCTTGATCAATAACTCCGCAATGGCCAGCCTGGAAGTCGTCAAGATCCTCATCGTCATTGTTGGCGGGAATTGAGATCACTATCTGCCACTCCTTTTCGTTATTGCCATGATATTCCGAATGTTCAAGGCGAAGCGCCACTTATACACAACCTAGCCATGACGGAACTGATTTGAATTTCAACCGACTTCCCTAGGGTTCAGTAACAGTTGCCACGTGACGACCTATTACAAATCTTATTGGCTCTAATAGACTGGTCGCCAATGTATATTGTCACATCACGGCCAAGTGCAATTTTCATTGGCTTATTTGATTTCCCTTGCTTACATCAGCCGTTACAATTCCGCCCGATAATTTTGTCACACCCTCACTTTTGCGCCATTTTTTCTCTCAGCAGAAAGTCTCATGGAGCGTTAAGAATGCTAGAGTTTTACATCCTTTCTATTACCCTTATTCTTAGTTTGTGGAGGAAATGCTATAGAGTTTTACATCCTTTCTATTACCCTTATTCTAAGTTTGTGGAGGAAATGCTATAGACCAAAAGTGTCACAGAATGTTCCGTTTTATTGGATGACAAGGTCCGATTATTCCTTTTAGTAATAAGGCGTTATTTTCAATAAGACCTCGGTTGCTTTTTTACGGAGCTGTTGGCTTACGCACACCAGCTGTAAAAAAAAATAACAAAGAGGCTAAAGCAGTAATTCAGATAAGACGAAAAGAATACGTGGATAACGAAATAAGATTAGTAAAACGTCATCTGATTTGTGCTCTAGTGTAGCCAGAATCACATGGTAAAAAAAAAAAGCAAAGCACTTTAGTGTAGAGAGCGAAACAAAAAAAAAAAAAAAATACCAATTTTTTTCAAGCCACATTTGACTGGGAATTCGGTATATAAGGTGACATAATAACAACAACTGAATATTTACACGATTAAATGAGATATACAATGCAAAGTTGATAATGACTTAGATACAACATATGGTCACAGTGAACCAGCAAGAGGTATCCAATATCCGAGCGCGTGAGTTCGAATCCAGATCACGGTCCGAGGTTAAAGATCCTTTAAAAGAATTTCAGACCACAGGAATTTGATAACAAAAAAGCATTACAAATAAGCAAATAAGCATGTTAACCAGTGAAATAGTTTTTTTTTCAGTAAAACGTATTTTTTAATTGGATTGTAGGTGGTCCTTCCACTATTGATAGGCTGGGCTACTTAAGGCTGTAGTATTTCCATAGCTGATAACGATATGTATAAAAATACTAAACAAAAAGAAAGAATATCAAAGCAAATCAAAACTAAAGACCGATTTTTTCTCTGGAATACTGGAATACAAATATTTAGATACAAATTAGTTTCTGTTAGATTCTTCCAAACGATGTTTATATACCGTTAGTAAGGAACATTAATACATTACTTTGGAAAAGTAGCATCCTTCCAAAATATATTCTTTACCTGCAACTTTGGCTCAGATAACTCAGCTGAATTCCTGCATGTCACTGCATGGCCAAAAACAGGTAGGATTTACTCCATTCTGTAGGACTTTTTTACTCTCCAAGTCACAGCCTACTTGACCATGGAGGTCTCTTCTGTCTAGGGAAGAGATCATGGAAACTGAGCAAAGAATTCTCAGAGAACCAGTGTGATCCATGAAAGTATATGCATACAAGAAAATATACATACTTGAGTATTTAAGTAAATGAATTACTTTCCAGTAATTTATTAAAATGCAATTGCTAGAAAGGATATCTACATTATCCTTCAGTTCATAAAATGTTCTGATTATATACAATCATGGACTTTGATGTGTAAATCTAATATTTTATTCTATTGAAAAGTGCTAACGCCGTGTCAACATCTAAGGTTTTTAACGGTGTATACAAAATATAGCAATAGGGCGAGGCTTGGTTGCGAAGCCCTGAGGCAAGGAAAGATAATACAGCTTTATAATAAATTGAGGTAAAAAGGTTTAACATTGAACATTTATGACAATGTTAGATGTTGTTAAACGCTGAAGGTAAGTGTGGTAGTGTAAAGGTAAAGAGGGAACAGTAAACGGAGTACTGACAAAGCCAGTCTTTAATTTCAGCATGGCTATCACACCTTAGGATGTGAAAAAATGAAGAGGATGAAGAAGAGAATAAAACGAAAGGTGGAGAAGAAAAGGCCATGCAAAATTAGGTGAGGCGAGAGCTGAGGTCCAAGGTAGGGGATCACCCCTACCTTGGGCCCCCTTTGACAACAATGGGCATGGGATTAAAGGGGGAGTAAATGTGATAGATTACCATGTATTCTCACTTCAGGGTATGTGGGATTTCCCAGACAAGATGTGCCCTCAACCCACAAAGGCTAAAATCCAGCCTTGGGAGGGATGGGGTGTGAGCTCACAAGAAGGACTTGTGTTGTTATATAGCGTAGTACCAGCCCGATATTACATAATACATACAATAAGTTTCAAACAACAGCTACTGATTGCTATCACTGGGATAACTTGCCATCTCAAAGTATTTTTTATTCATGGGCAATATCCTCATCATCTTTAGCTTCATAAATTTTTCATGGGCAATATCCTGCCATTCCAATATAACCTTTTAGTTTTTCAAACTAGAATTAGAGTATCAAAAAATTACTTTTGTTGGTAAAATTAATATTTTGGGTATTGTATACCAAATAAGTAATTTTTCAGAATATTTTCACACCACTGATTGTCATGGATTCCTCTCACAGTATAGCACACACACACACACACATATAAATTATGCCACAGAACCCCCTAAAACCCCAACATATTTGGTCCCAATAGCAGGGGAGGGCATGATAGGTACCCGAAAAATTGCGGAGCAAACTAACAGTAATATAATACAGATAATACTTCTCTATACTGCTGAATGCAGAGGGCTGCAATCCCCATGGGAGCCCCCACCCCCTGCCTGGACAACAAAGAAATTTCCAGGTATTGACAGCAGGATAAAGCGTCAGACAGACTGAGCATAAGGCGGTCCCATGTTAGTTGTATGCCCAACCCTGCCGTGAATATATTGGGGGTTCTTCGTATTCCAATGCAGGGGGGGGGGGGGGGGGGGGTCCAAGGAGAGTTAATGCAGGGAGCACAACTTACTATATTAGACAATATAATGACTGATTTTGTGTATATTATTCATAATTCACTCTACAGTTTCCCCAAGTACCTTTCATGCTCTTCCCTGCTATCAGGGGGGGTTGACAGCATATTTGGATAGTAGAGAGTAAAAGGAATCAGGCAATAATAAAATCATCACGATCGGTTCTATGAAGGCATTCAGAAAAATTACCATTTCGTTGTCTAATTATCATTTAAAGGATCATAAATAATGTTACTGCTGTGTCATAATGGAATTCACTTTTTATCATTAATGTCAACATATCTCAACTTAAATCTTGCAAAGAACTTGATACTGTTTAGTAATACATATTTTTTTGTAATTTATGCATTTTACTTGACTAATGAATATACATACTTTTGTCATCTCTTATTTCAGTAATCATCAAATTGAAGGAAAAGCAAAACTATATTTAACAATTCTGCATGATCTACATATATTTACAATATCTGTTTACAAAATTCTGACTAATTCTTCTCCTCCTGACTCTCTTTGAAGATGTCAGAAAGACGTACTTTGTCTTTCAAAAGTTTAGACTCTGGCTCTGTGGTCTGAGTTTCTACAGCAGGTTGTTCTTCTGGCTCAGGCTGTAAAAAATGAGTATGGATTTAGTTTTGATCTGAGATTTTGTATACATCTACAAGAAACTCTTGTAGAGTGCTTATAAATGAAGAAATAATAATCAACAAAACTCTCACTAGTTCCCTCGATCATTTTTGTTTTCACTCATTCGCTCTGTCTTAACTTCCTATCACTCATTAACAAACTTGATCACTCAATCATCATCACACTCCAATACTCTATCACTTCTCTAGTCACTTAACTACTTACAAACTTCCTTCCTTACTCACGCACTCACTTGTCACTAACTCAATTTATGCACTCCTTGTCTAGTAACATTCATTCACTATGTCAACAATGCATACCTTAGGAGGAGCTCGAGAACGGTCTAGGTATATGCCATGAGCTTCCAGTGCTAATGCAGTTTCTTCCATAAGTTTCTCCTCTGGGACTTTACCTTCATCTCTCAATTTCTCATATTCCTTTATAAAAACTTGTGATATAGTTGGCCGAACACTATGTTCAGATAAGGTAATTGTGCCTGGAGAACCATGTGCCTTATAAAATTTCCTGTAATATCAAAAGAAACACTTCTATTAATTTAAATCATAATCCATCA